GTAGGTAGATATAAAATTTCTAAGACAAAAATGGATTTGGAAAAAAAAAGTAAAAGAATGGCTCAATTAAATAATCTTTACAGTTCCATCCAGCCCTGAAGTTCATGATTCTGGGCTTATAGGTGAAGTGAGTCTCCTCTGCCACACCCATCTTCCTTCCAGCGCTGCCCTGCTTTGTCCTCCCTTGAAAGTAGTCAAGTATGTGTGTGTGCACACTCCCTGCTCAGAGTCTGGGGATGCTGAGGGGTCCTGTACACCTCACATGTGACATCAGTTGAAGAGCCAGTTCAGTGTCTTAAATTTTGGTTTATTTTCTTTCTCTTATTTGTTATCACTTGGTTTTTAAAGCTTTTTAAATAATTGTTTATTTTATTTTAAGTTCTGGAATACATGTGCAGGATGTGCAGGTTTATTGCATAGGGAAATGTGTACCATGGTGGGTTGCTGCACCTATCATCCTATCGTCTTCATGCATTAGCTCTTTGTCCTGATTCTTTCCCTTCCCTGCCCCTGCCACAGGCCTCAGTGTGTGTTGTTCCCCTCCCTGTGCCCATGTGTTCTCATTGTTCGACTCCCACTTATAAGTGGTATCACTTGTTTTTAAGGGCTTATTTTGTTTTTGTTGTTGCTGTTGTTTGTTTTGAGACACTGTCTCACTCTGTCTCCCAGGCTGGAATACAGTGGCACAATCCTAGCTCACTGCAGTCTCCGCTTCTGGGTTCAAGTGATTCTTGTGTCTCAGCTTCCCGAGTAGCTGGAAATATGGCATGCACCACCACACCTGGCTAAGTTTTGTATTTTAGTAGAGACCTCAAGTGATTTGCTTGCCTCAGCCTCCCAAAGTGCTGGAATTACATGCGTGAGCCACCTCGTCCCACCATTAAGGGCTTATTTTAAATGCAATTATAATGTTTTCTTTGGAACTTATGAACTCTTTTCATTAGCTATGCAAATTCCCATGATTCCAGAACAAATATATACAGTTTCAAAGGACAGATATTTAGGCAAATAATTTCTCTCTATCTCTAGCATCTTACTCAGTGTCTGTGAAGTAGCTGGCATCCAATGAAAGCTAGTTGAATGAATGAATGTTCCATATGTAGTCATAAAGGTAATACCCTAAATTTCAGTTTAACAGTTGATCAATGAAACATTCTCCTCCCACTCCTTAGAAGAGCACACGTTATCTTATGGGGCCAAAGAGTGGATCTGAAATGATCTCCTCAGGGAATTCAGAAATAGAAAGTAGAACCACTGTCTTCCATGAATCTTATTAAAAAAAAAAAAGTTTAAAAATTAGCTTATAAGTTACTTCTAATAAATCAATCCCATTTTTCCTCCTAAACTTATAATTATGAAGGGAAGTATAATAACATTTTCCTGAAATGAGATTTAGTAATTCTGGCAGTACTTCATTAATCACTTAATCAGTGTTCAAGCAGAACTGATGTCCTTGACATGTATAATCAATCTTGATTCCTCCCACATTTGATTTCCATCTTTTAAAAAATCCAGCCACTACACACACTAAGGATTGGTGGCTTAATTTCACATTATAGTTTTGTTAGAGACATTATGTGTACATAATAACAATCAGAATATTGATACCTATATTAAGTCTCCTCACAGTCTATTTGAAAGTAATCATTTTCTCTTCAGTGAATTTATGGAGATTAACAGTGCTAGGATCATATTCTATTATAACTTAATGGAAAAATGGGCTCAAGTCATTTTTTAACTTAGTATATTTGGAGGTAACATGTTGATTATTATTGGTGAACCAGAGCTACTTGCCTATGGCACATTCTGAAGAACTTTTCTAAAGCTATTTCCTAAAGGCAGCTGGCATGGAAATGTAAGTAGCACCCCAAAATTAGGCAGCAGTGGGTTAGGGGTGTCTAATATGTTCTGCTTTGGAAAGGTACTTTTGTGATTGCTGGTGTGACTACAGAAGTTCCAATTTCTGCCACTCTTTTTCTCTTAACACTTTTTCTGATTAATTTGGAAGTTTAAAAGCATTACTGATCAGGCATGGCGGCTCTCACCTGTAGTCCCAGCACTTTAGAAGACCAAGGTGGGAGGACTGCTTGAGCTCAGGAGTTTGAGACCATCCTGGGAAATATATTGAGATCCTGTCTCTATCAAAAAAACAAAAAAATTTAGCCACACATGGCGGTACACATTTGTAATCCCAGCTACTCAGGAAGCTGAGGTAAGAGGATCAATTGAGCCTGGGAAGTTGAGGCCTCAGTGAGCCATGATAGTGCCACTGCACTCCAGCCTGAGTGACAGAGCAAGACCCAGTTTCAGATCCCCCCACCCCACACAATATTTATTCACTCCAAATGTTAGCTGTGTAATTTTCATGTCCACTGATTCACAGACCACCCATCCCCCGATCTACACATTGCTTGTCAACACCATGTATTTTTCTCTTTCCTGTTAAAAAACCTACAGTGTAGACTTTACAGGTAGGTAATGCAGAAAATCAACAGGTGAAGGCTCTTAATTCAAAATTGCACATGTGTTTGAACAAAGGAGGCAAATGTTTTGTTATCTGGCTGTTGGGAGAGTATTTTTCCTCCATAAAAGGTGATAGCGTGGTGTCTCAGGATTGTTTAAAACTTAAATGTTTGCACCTACTGTGTGCTGCAGAAGATGAAGTAGAAATAAGCTTTTGTGCTAACAGTGTAAGAGGAGAAGCCTTTGAGGGATACTGAGATTAGCACTCGGTAGGTTCAGCCAGATTTACAGCTGGATCTATAGACCAAGAATCAGAAAGTCAGAGGGATAAAGTAATAATGACATCTCCCATTTCCTGAGGCTTTTCATGGTGGTCTGTGGTGTGCTTTGCATGGGTTATTCAGTGGAATATTTTTAACATCCATAAGAGGTCAGTACCATACATATTCCCAGTTTAAAGAGGAAAGATGAGGCTCACAGAGATGGAGCAATCTGCCCAAAGTTACACAGCGGGTCTGTGATGGCTCTATGTGACTCTAGAGCTCTCAACCACTAGCTATGTCATCTACACACATATCTGAGGTGTATAAACTGAGGCACAGTCAATAAGTTGCAGAGCTTACAATATATTTGAGCATATATATTAGGTAGAAGCTGAACTACAAACTCATTATAGTAAAATAATCCTTTAATGAAAATTTAATGGAACTCTAGTTTAGCTAGAAAGTAATTAGTAGGTTACAACAGAAATTAAGGTGAACATTCAACCCAGGAGTGAAAAAATGAAAAGGAGAGTTGGACAGAAAGTTAATTATCAGACTCCATATTGCATTGATGAGAGGTGGATTTGACTTTGAATGACTATTACTAATAACCATGAAGACAAGGCCTTCATTAGGAAAGCAGATTTCCTGATCTAAATGAAATCTCCCTAAAACCATTTACTTTCCTCACCCCACCCCCTCTCTTTTGCTCTGATGTACAGTGATCAAAGCAATTCTCTGATAACTAATTCAACTCCTCAAATCTGTGGCTATAAGTAAGGTCACCAATTCTTAAATGACATATAGCGTTTACTAACACATGGACAATCTTTTTGTAACAGTATCTTAAGTGATTTTGGTTACTATAAATCAGTTCTCTTCAGGCTAACTTTGGAGAAACCAAAAACGTTTACCAGAATGAAGCATTGTTCCATCAGGGATCCATGAAGAGTCCCGTCCTGCTGTCCCAAACCTCTACAAGGCCTCTGCCCATTCCCATTCTGCCCTCCATGACACGACCTGCCCTAAACCCCAGGCATTCTAGGGAACCCTATCATGTCCCTTCAGAGTTCTGAAGAATAGACAGGAAATAAAATAGAAGAGGGAAGCCTAGCTCATGGAGAACCAAAGAGTACCTGGGCCTGACCAGGCATGAACTGAGGTGACCTCAGCAGCCAGAGGCCAAAGCAGCGAGTATGTTTCAACAGCAAGCACTGACTGAATTTCCACCATGTGCCCAGCACATCCATGCTTAGACCAAAGAAATGAGACTCAGTTACCACCTTCAAAAAGCCTCTGAGAAAACACATTCGTAACTGCTGAGTACTAGGTGCTTCCCAAGCCAGCAACTTGGATAAAGTCAGGTAGCAGGTTGGGTAAAATCAGGCCAGCAACTAGGGTAAAGTCAGGTAGCAAGTTGACAGCTAACATGTATTCCCCAACTGGGTCCCACCAGCTTTTCCACAGGAAACTCATCCAAATTCCTTCTTCCTGCTTCAGGGAGGAGAGCTCAGGGGCATGTCACAAAATTCCTGCTATCTCTGCCCATCCATGTGGCCTCTGGTTTCTGCTACTGTAATGGTGCTCCGTCACCTCTCATGTTTCGAAGTATTGTGCCATAGCTAGTGCCCTAGGCATCTACCTGCTTCTGCCAGCCCCACCCAGCAAGCCATCTCCTACTAAGAGTCTTTCAAGAGGTCCCCCCCTCCACCCTTGTACTCCTGAGAAACATTGTTTTCTGACCAGCATTGAATCCTGTATCAGATCACAAAGCAGCATTTCACTGATAGTCTTTTGATTTTCTACAGGAACTTGATGGTAGAGATTTTCATTCAGTGGCTCTTGATTTAGCAGCTGTGTTCCTAACATTCAAGCACTTGTCTGAGAAAGCCAGTGTTGTCATATCCATTGGCATGCAGTGTCCCTCCCCAGGAGCCCTGAATGTTATTACCAATCTTCCTCTCTAACCAATTGTACAAGCGCACCTTCTCTGTCAGTAACAGACCTGAGTGGATTGACAGGTAACCCTTGTTCCTATATGGCCAATGAGGTCTTAGATCAGAGCTCTGCCATTAACTCCAGCAAGCCCTTTCATGCTTCCCAAGAAAATCCTCTGTTTTATAAAAATAAAGCCCTTCAGGTGGACCTGCTCAGACCTGTGGGAAATGGCTGGCAACTGTGGCATCTCGCACTTAGATATGCACACTGAGATCCTCAGGACGCTAGTTAATGCTATTTGAAAGTTTCCTGCCACATCTTTAATTTTTGTTTCAGATAAAGGGATATTTGTTATCCAAAGCGAGAGTCTTGAGAAATGCATCCAAGCAGGGAAATCGGTACTGACCCTGGAGAACTGCAAGCAAGCAAACAAGCACATGCTGTGGAAATGGGTTTCAAACCATGGCCTCTTTAACATAGGAGGCAGCGGTTGCCTGGGCCTGAATTTCTCCGCCCCAGAGCAGCCGTTAAGCTTATATGAATGTGACTCCACCCTCGTTTCCTTGAGGTGGCACTGTAACAGGAAGATGATCACGGGCCCGCTGCAATACTCCGTCCAGGTGGCGCGTGATAACACTGTGGTGGCCTCACGGAAGAATTTTCATAAGTGGATTTCTTATGTGTCAGGTGGTGGAGACATTTGCAAATATCTACACAAAGGTAAAAATAATTTAAATAAGTACTCAGGGAATGATATATTTTTAAAATTTGCTTATAGATAAAGATTTGTAAAGCATTATGTGAAAGAAGTACGTAAGGCCTGGACCCTCACGGGACTTCTGCTAAATACATTTTAGTTGTTTCCTTGCTTATGGTAAAAGGGTTTTGAGAGTCTCAGAATGGACATACTAAATTCTGCTAAAGAAGCAGAGCTTTTCAGAGTTGAAAGGTATTGGGAGGAAAAACTTTTAACTGACTCTGGGAAGCAATGGAAAGGAGGAGAAAGAACAAGCAGACAGGAGGAGAGAGAAAAGGAAGGTGGAAGGAAAAGATCTTCAAAGTGAGGACTTTTGTCATGACAAATATAATAACTGCTCCTTCCCTGCCACCATTTCTCTTGTTGTAAAAACCCATCCCCACCTATGGAGGTATGTGTCCAAGGCACCTCCAGTGCTTCCTCACGCTGGCTGCCATTCATGTGGTAGTCATGTTGCAAGTCACTTGAAGATAAATGACAGACTGTTGTCAGGGGTTATTTGGTAGATGCCAAGCATGGTTGGTGGGGAAGCATGGTGTAGAAAGGAATTTCATTTTCTATGGTTATTTTTATCATTTCTAAACAGAAAAAATAAATAAATAAAGTTACATGGTTAAATTCTAAAATCTCAAACCTGTCCCTCAGGGTTTGTTTGGCAGTTCACTCTATCCATCCATCCATCCATCTATCCATCTATCCATCCACCCACACATCCATTCATCCATCCATCCATCCATTCATTCCACGTTTTTTATCTAGCACTGCTGACAAATCCGTCACACATTCATCAGGCACTGGGCTAGGCACCTGATTTACAAAGACCTATAGGACAGGTGGAGTCCTTCCCCTCGTGGTGCTCTGTAGAATTATGCTTTCACAAGAGCATATCCTCCTAAGAATTCTGTACAGTCCTGGGAAGCAGAGCAAGGAACTCCTAAAGAAGAAATGATTAAAAAGAGACAGAGCCAAAGGCCCGGCATTTTCAGGACTCACTAACATAAAGCAAGCACTCTGAATAATCTACAGTTCTGAAGAGGAACTGGATATTTTGCTTTACGTTAACTTTTTAGCCACATTCCCACACTCATGGTGCATGCAGGCAAAGCCTAGGGAACATAGCCTTCTGAGTAGAAGGAAGGAGATTGAAAGAAGAGGACATATCCTGAAATACCCACAGTTCCTAAAGAGCCCTGACGGCTAAGGCTGGTGCCTGATGACATGTCAGTTCAGCCCCTGCCAATTGTGGGGCTCTCCACAGCTGGTCCTTTTGCCCCAGGACCTACCATTGACAGCCACAGTTGAGTCATAAAAAGTTTTTGTTGATTCCTGATTAAGGCCAAGAATGGCCAAGTATTGCAATATCCTGAGAAAGCAGCCAGCAGGCCACATCTGCAGGGTCATCTCACTCTAGACCACTGTAGAAGCCACCCAACCAGCTGTCTTATTTCACCCTCTCCCCGTATAGGCTGTTTGCCCCTTTGAACCCCCAGTGATTCTTCTAAAATGGACATCTGATCCTGTCACTTTCCCATTCAAAACCTGCACAAGACTTGCCCCCACCCTCAGGGTAGAGGGCAAAGCCCACAGTGTGGCAGGGAGACAGCCCTATGTGCACTGACACTCCAGTATGTCTGTGATTTCCCTTCCCAGAGGGCCTCCTTCCTCTTCTTCATTCACCGCACACCTGTTCTTGTCTCAAGCACTTTATACTTGCTGTTTGCTCTGCTGGATCAACTCTTTTCTAAAGACCTGCACTCTCAGGTCACCCAGTTCTTATTCAGAGAGGTATTTTTCTGTCCATCCTGTCCAGAGTAGTGCCCTGTGCCCATCCACCCCATCTCTCCCTCTCTCTCTCTTCTTCTCTCTGTCTCTTCCCCTCTCTCTTCCTTTCTCTCTCTCTCTCTCTCCCTCTGTCTGTCACACACGCACACACACACACACAAACACCCCCTGCACTCTGTGTTCTCGTCCTATTTATTTTTCATCACAGCACTTTTATCACTACCTGCAATGATACTGTATGTTTATTTGTATATCTCTCTCCTGGCTAGAATAGAAGTTCCACTTGAAGGAACTCTTGCTGATTTGTTCACTGTTGCATCCCTAGTACTGAGTACTTTAAACGCTCAATAAATATTTATTGAATGAATAAATTAATAAATGCCTATGTATCTATTGAGCTTTAGATGCTAATGGCTGATGCATTTGGGGACTGGAAGGTACTATGAAGGTAAATCTCCATTAAAGTTTTCTTCTCATCCATCCACAAATATGAATGTTACTGTGGCAGCTCACCATAGTAAGTGAACAAGTAAACAAATAGATAAATGTGTAAGCAAACCATGTATCAGCACTTCTTCTGAGCCGAGCACTGGGTCTAGCACTTCTACTGACAGGATACAGTGAGGACCTGAGGGCTCACTCTGCTGTAGTGAGTATCTGCCCCTACAAGGGGTTTCAGTCCATAAAAAAAAATGCTTTAGATATATAGCAGTTTCCAGAGATAAAGCTGACATCATACTTATCTGACTTTGCACATTTCTTTCTCCTAGATTTGCATACAATCAAAGGGAACACCCACGGGATGCCGTGTATGTTTCCCTTCCAGTATAACCACCAGTGGCATCATGAATGTATCCGTGAAGGTCGAGAAGATGACTTACTGTGGTGTGCCACGACAAGCCGTTATGAAAGAGATGAAAAGTGGGGATTTTGCCCTGATCCCAGTAAGAATAAATTTTGTCTTCTATATATGTCATGAATAAATCAAAGATGATTAGAAAGTTATCTGTATCTAAACAAAAGCACTGGGACTGATATATTGAAGTCTGAATAAGCACCCTGATGCTATTAATATAGATTGTGATTTGGGGTTTGTTTTTGCCTTGGAAAGATGATTCTAATCTGTATTATTTTTTCCATACATTGAAGAGATGTTAATTAGACATTCTTCATTAAGCTCAGTGCATAATGATGTTTTAACCAAATTATAATACTCTGCGATCTCATTGATCCCAGCTTCCTGGCTGGATACTTCAAAGCAAACCTGATTGCATATAAAGACCAGTCACCTTTTCAATCCCCTACCTCTCATGAGCTGCCTTAATTTCTCCACATCCAGGCTGTTTGTCTTGCCCATTGTCAAGTCCAGGCATCAGCCGGCCCCTTGATGATCTTTCTAAAATTGCAATTGCCCTCATTATTTCTTGACAGTGGATTCCTGACTTGCTTTCCTTACTACTTACCTCCTGGCTATAATCTCATTTGTTTTTTCTTAACTTGATTTTCAAGGTTCGATGACAGCGGCAGTTTTCTAACTTTTTTTCAGTTAGTGCTTTAATATTTTATTTTTATTTAGCTAAAAGGTTTCCAATTGTTCCCAAGTATTGGGGAATATTTATGTATACCTCCTACTTTCTATATGCAATTTCCTTCCCCTTGGTTTCTGTGAGTCAGAAAGCACAGCTTTTACAGTCTTTTCATTTCCCATCCCGCCTCTCCTCTGCATATATAAAATGCAACAAATAAATTTGAAGCAAAGCCAAATTGATGAGATTAACTGCCAAGAATCTGACTTATGAAGTATCTGTAGAATTGCTTTTTAATCCAAGAGCCAGTCTAGTTTAGTAAATAAGAAAGAGTATAACCTTTGAAATAATCAGGCCAAGAATGGAATCTTACTTCCTTTCAACAATGAAATTTTGGGATGCTCTCTCCATCTAAGTCTCAGTTTCTTCAGCCATAAAATGTAGATAATAGCAGTAACTATTAGGATTACTGTGCAATTCAATTAGATGAGGCATTCAAGGCACTTTTCATAATGTCCGACACACAGTAAACCACTCACAAAGGTTAACCATTGCAGCCAGCAGCAGGAGCAGCAACAACAGCAGCAGCATCAAACCCAATTTATCTTTTCAGCATACACTTCTGAATAGATGATTTCTCCTCTTCGTTGTCAGTCAACAAGCACTAAGCTAGGCATAGTGGTGAATGCCAAGAGTTTTAGGACTCAGGATCCTCCCTTTAAGGAACTTGGCATTAAGACAGGACAGACAGATTTGCTGTATGCCAGAATATGCTGACTATATTTGAGACAATGCCCTAGAATCACCTGGGAGATAGTTTCAATGCATATCCTGGCCCATCTTCCAGAGATGCAGTGGGTCCAGTATGTAAAACCCAAGCATCTGCATTTTTGAAAAGTGCCCCAGGTGACCCTGGTGCAGATAATTCTTCCTCAAGCATTTAATAATATGGAGATAATTCTATGCAATACACATCTATATACAGGGATAATAACACATTTAACCACCAATATGGTATGCGCTATTGATCAATCACAGTGCAGACCCTAGTGTGGGGCTTGGGAAGTCTAGAGACCCACTGCTGATATTAACCCCCAGCTGCTGGAATGTGGGGGGTGGGGTGCAGGGAAGCCTGGGGCAACAATGGCTATTCACCAACCAGCATGAAAGCATTTTATTATTTTATAACTGTCAAAACACCAGCCTTCTCTATCTGAATCTAAATGTATGCATGTAGGTGTGTAGGCATGTAATCCCTACACACCTTGAATTCCTGAACCAGATGTCATATTATTTTCATTATTGTCATATTATTTACATCATTTCATCTCTTTCCTTTTGTATCCTCAACAGATGTCATTATTAAAATCGAATAAATGAACCAATACTAATAAAGTTACACATACATCACACGACTCTAACACTAGGGACTTTAAATTAAAAAAAAAAAAAAAAAAACCTACAACATTCTCCTTAAGGTTCTGAAAAGAACCCTGCCAAAAATCTCTGTCACTTATAGCCAATGACAGTTTCCCAGTGGAAGCCTGGGCTCAGCGGCGCCCTGGGCTTTCCATTTCCCAGACTATCTATGTTCAGCCTCCTATGACTCAGAAGCTTCCTCCACTTGACAGCCTGCCAGATTCCAGCTCTCCTGACCTTTACAACCAGCAGAGAGCATGTTTATTTGTTCGGTGCCAGTTTTCTTCCTTTCTCATTACTTTTGGCTCCCAGTAGCCAATATAACTCAAAATGACATGTCAGAGATTGAAACCTGAGCACACTGATAACTCTTTCCATGAGGTCAACAAGTGGATAGGACAGGGAAGAGTGAGTGGAATAAAGTAAAGGTCTGTACTGCTGTATCTCATCCTTCTTATGTGAGAGTTTGTTTTTTTTTTAATATCTCAGTGTAAAATGATGCTACCTTTTTTCAGAAAAAAAATTTATTGTAAATGAGCAAAATTTAAAGTTAGTATTCATAAACACATACACAAACATACTAGCAGTGAAGGATGCAATAAAACATCTTCAGTAATAAGGATGACACACAGGAATTTCTCTGGGTTTGTTTAGAGGCAATTCTGGCCATTCTAGGTTGTGTGCCTTAGACAGCTGCAGTCACACTTAGTTAATTTGAGATATTTTTAGGATACCAACCTGTGGAATGATACGATTGTCCTTGAACCTTATTTTTATATAATTCTGATCAGTCTCTAGAGTGACATAGTAAAGCAAATTTTGGCTTGGCACAGTGGCTCACGCCTGTAATCCCAACACTTTGGGAGGCTGAGGCAGTCAGATCACTTGAGGTCAGGAGTTCAAGACCAGCATGACCAACATGGTGAAACTCCATTTCTACTAAAAATACAAAAATTAGCTGTGCGTGGTGGTAGGCACCTGTAATTCCAGCTACTTAGGAGGCTGAGGCAGAAGAATTTCTTGAACATGGGTGGTGGAGGTTGCAGTGAGCCAAGATTTCACCACTGGACTCCAACCTGGGTGACAGAGCAAGACTCTGCCCCCCCACCACAAATAAAGAAAAAGAACCAGATTGATACAATAAATGCATGGTTGCTCTCACCTGAGCCCTCAACATGGATCAGCAATGCTATATGGTTCTGTCATGCAGCTCTCTCTACCCCACAATGACCCTGCCAACATCTCTATTCTCCTCTAGCTTCAAACCCTACCTTCCAATCTCCTTCCTGATTCTCATTAGGTTACCTCAGTTCCTACCTCATAATGGCAAAAAGATGCATCAGACAGGCAGTTTTGGCACTTCCAGCTCCCTAATCTTTAAGCCTACCTGTGCCTGTGCCCATCTTTATTTCCTCCCTTCTATGCACGAGGATGCTGTTCCTCCTTCTATGTGGGCCAAGTCTCCTCACCTGAGCTCTGGAGCTCCTCATCCAACCTTCTCCAACCTGTATCTCAGTGGTTCTGAAAGTGTGGTCCCCACTCCATCAGCGTCGGAATTCCCTGGAAGCTTGCTAGAAATGCACAGTAGCAGTCCCACCCTAGACCATCATATCAGAAATTCTAGAAGTTTTAACAAATCTATGTTTTAACAAACTTCTAGGTTATTCCAGTGCACACCCATACTCTGCTGGGCCCTTATCCTTAGCAGTTAGACCTGTGCGAGCCTTAAAATAACATCTTAAAAATAATGCAATTCCTTCATCACCATTTCTGCCTCCTGAAAACACCTCTCTCTCATCCTCTACATAAAGAGAATTTGCAAAAGAATTATTGCTGGGCATGGTGGCTCACACCTATAATCCCATCCCAAAACTTTGGGAGGCCAAGGAGGGTGGATCACCTGAGGTCAGGAGTGCGAGACCAGCCTGACCAACATGGAGAAACCCCCTCTCTACTAAAAATATAAAATTAGCTGGGCATGGTATCTTATGCCTGTAATCCCAGCTACTCGGGAAGCTGAGGCAGAAGAATCGCTTGAACGGGGGAGGTGGAGGTTGCAGTGAGCAGAGATCGCACCACTGTGCTACAGCCTGGGCAACAAGAGGGAAACTCTGTCTCAAAAAAAAAAAAAAGAATTGTTTATACCTTCTCATTTTGCTTTCCTTCTTCAGGACGCTCTCTCCTCTTGACTTCTTCAACAATGCATGCCCGACCTGGGCTTCCATTTCCATAGACCATTATTCATTTATTCATTTAACAAATTTGTATTGAACACCTACTATATGCCAGGGACCCCTCTGGCTCCTGGGGTTATAACTGTGAATGTGAAATATGAAAGTCATAGTGCCTGCCCTGATGAAATTCACATTCAAACATAATGCCCATATTAATATATAATTACAGTTTATCATAGGTTCTACCTTAGGAAAATACAGTATTATAAGTGAGAAACGAAAGTTAAAATTGAGAATCATGGAAGACTTTCCTAAGGAGGTTGTATTTGAACTCTAACTCAAGAGATGAGTAGAAGTTGTCAAGATGGAGAGTGGGGAAATGAGATATTTGTCAGAGATGCATGGTGCAGCCATGTGCAAAGGAAAGGGAGAGGGAGTGGTCAGCATGGGTTGTGCACAATAAAGGGGATATATAGTTCAAATAAAACTAATAATAAAACCAAGTAAAAAACAGTCTGCTTTTGATTCACCATGCACATGCTGTAACAATTCTAAACAATGTCAGTGATAAAAATACCCCCACCCGTCCAGGCTGACTGCTCCTCCACCCCCAGCCCTCAGCATGTCACTGGCTAAATATCTGAAGGTTTTGAGGGGGGAAGAGCTTATTGCCATCTAAGAAAGACAATGTGGCAAGAGTACAGTGGTTGAAGGAGAGAGAAGACACTCTGAAAAGATAGAGCCCAACTCATAGACAGGCTAGATAATTCAGAGTGTCATAAAGGTAAGGACTTACCTAATTCTAAGTGCAAAAGGAAGCAATAAAAGGCTTTTAAGCAGAAGAGTGATGATAATTTTTAAAAAAACATTTAAGGATTACTCTGGCTCCATTATACTGAATGGCTTGGAAGGGAACAATATGCAAATCCTGGAAACTTGGTAGAAAGCTGGAGCAATAGTCTGGTCCAGGAGTAGTGGTGGCTTCAGTTAGGTGACAGCCAGGGGGTTGGAGAAATGTGAATGTATTGGAAATCTAATTTGTTGACAAACTGAACAGGACCTAGTTGTCAGGAGCTTAGCTGGGCTAGAGACAGCTGAGCTGTCAGTTGTTGGAGTAGCTGATTAGCAACAAGCCAAAAATGAAAGCATTAAGCTGTTGATCACTCACTACGATGGTATAAGGAAGAGTCTAAAAGAATTTGCCACCTCCCCACCTCACCCCCGACTTCCATTTTTCCCCAAGGAATAGCACAGCCATCAAGGGTCAGTGGATCAGCACAGACATGGAGTTCAGTTCAGCTCACTGTTGAGGGAACCCTAAACAACAACAACAAAGGCTTTCACTTTTATAGATTCTGGGTTGGAGTAAGATGGGGGGAAGAGCTAGGAGACAAAATGTACTGAGCACTGAGTCAGAGCGGGGAGGAAGTGTCTTCAAGATTCCCCTTTCCCACTCCATCCCAGCCTCAGCAGAAGCACCTGAAGAGGACCTTGGCCCACAGCCTCACATAGAAAGAGACCTAGGAACTGAAGAAACCTGCACCAGAAATGCAAATAACACAGAGCACACTGGGCCTGAGGGGCCTGAGCCCAACTATGAATCTCTTTAAAAACTGCAGTATGCCAGCTCTGCACCAAGTCTGGGTGGGGGCAGCTTTCCCCCATAAGGCCTGCCGAGTAAAGCCTTCGTAACTGCCTATGGTCAGGCCTTAAGAATCACATATAGGTTTTTAACCAGGAGTAGGACTTCTCACTACTAAGAACTTGGAGGCTAGGAGAGAAAGTGAGACATTAATTCAGACTCCATGTTTCTGCCTTGCATAGCTAAGTTTATGGAGATATACATTTGGAAAAGAAAAGTACCATTCAGGTTGGCATATGTTACATGTGAGTCAGTTATGTGAAGATGTGGACTAGGCAGGTAGATGTAATGGTCTCTATGTATTTGGAAGTTGTAGGAAATGGACCCATGAAAACAAGTTAGATAGCCGTGGGTAGAAAGCATGTATAGAATAGAAAGGAATGGGGCTGAGGGCCAAGACTTAAGGCCTCCAACATTTAATTTGAGCAGAGAAGAATAAATCAGCAAAGGAGACTGAAAGGGGGCAGCCAGGGAGGCATAAGGGAAACCAGGCATGGGAAGTCCAGAAAAGAGTAAATCCGCACAAAGAGGGAACTCAGCCTGCCAAGTGCTGATGAAGGGCCTTGTTGATAAAGTCTCAAACTAACATTTGCTGAATTTGGAAACACAGGGATCACTGATGGCCTTAACAAAATATACCTTAATTGCCAGATTGAGTGGATGGGAGAGTAAGTGGGGAATTAGAAGAGGATGAAACACTTCCCAAGTCATCCTACAAATGCTCTTCAGTTCATTAAAAGAGAGGTGTAGCTTAGGAGGGGGAAAATCACCTATTTATAACACCAGGCAAAAGATTTTGGTACTCTCTCATCACATAATAGGAGACCCAGAGTTATAAATGACACAGCTGCTCCCCTGAAGGAGCTCATAATTTAGCAATAGAAGAAAGGATATAAAGTCGGTCAAAGATGTAAAGAATATAGCAATAGTATTATAGCCCTTAAATTAGAATTTTTCAAGAATAATAATCATACCTGAGACACCAGCCTTTGATCTTGCATTTTCTGTGGCTTAGAAAGAGATTATATATAAGTGCAAATGCCCAGGTCAAGGTGGGAGCCTGTGGAAGGTAGGTCCCTGGGGAACAGTCTCCAAGCCAAAGGTTAACATGTGGGAGTTTTTTGGGGGATCCCCTTCAGGATCAGTTCATGTGAAAAGGAAGGGAAGAGAGCAGGATTGCACAGAACAGGCTCTGAAGCAGGCCTGACAGCCCGTAGGCCAACTCTATTCAGAGGTGTCAAGCTGGGGTGACCCTTCAGAGTTGCCCCTTGTTGGGATGGGGGTCTAAGTATATCACTACATTGACTGCCATGGTTTCCCAGCTGCCCTTGGGAAGGGAGAGTGACATTGGGCAGAGACTATTCTGCCAACGCAATCCTTAAAGGAGGCTTAACACTGAGAGCAGCACATCGCAGTGACCATGACAACATTTTCATTCCATTACTTACAGCCTTCAAATGAGATTCATGGAGTGACATGCAGGCCACCTAGAGAAGCAGAGAAAGGACGTTTGTCTGTCTGTATGGAAGTACAAATTTTTATACAGGCTGAGTATCCCTCATCCAAAATTCTTGGGCCCCAAAATGTTATAGATTTCTGATTTTAGGATATTTGCATATACATAATGAGATTTATTGGGTATGGGACCCAAGTGTAAATACAGAATTCATTTATGTTTTGTATACACATTATACCCATAGGCTGAAGGTAATTTTACACAACATTTTAAATAATTTCGTGCATGAAACAAAGCATTGACCAAAACCCTTCACATGGGGTCAAGTGTGGAATTTTCTATTTATGGTATCATGTCAGCACTAAAAAAAAAATTCACCCTGTTGCCCAGGCTGGTCTTGAACTCCTAGGTTCAAGTGATCCACCTGCCTCAGCTTCCCAAAGGGCTGGGATTACAGACATGAACCACCATACCCGGCCTCTTTCTTTCTCTTTTTGTAGCGATAGGGTCTTCCTTTGTTGAACAGGCTGGTCTCAAACTCCTCACTTCAAGTGATCCTCCTGCTTCAGCTTCCCAAAGTGCTAAGGTTACAGGCATGAGCCACTGTGACTGGCCTAAATGATTCCTATGTACACGAAAACTGTGAACACACCCCCACTCTCCCATCATAGTCTCAGCTGTCATGGTGGATAAGTATGGCTAAACTAGTGTCTGATAACACGCAGTAGTATGTTGTCCACATCAGGGAAAGCCTAGCATTTTAACTGAAAACAATCTCTAAGCATTCCATCTCAATGGGGAAATTCCAGTCACCAGGACAACATGACTACTGAAAATTTCCAGTCTCTTTTTCCTTTCTTTCTTTCCCCTTTCCTTCAGTTTTACTTGCTGATAGCCTTATCTTCTGCCTTCCTTTAATCTTGGATCCTTCTATAAACACATGTATCAGTCAGGAAACTCTACAGACAACCTTAGATTTATATGTGATTTAAAACCTCTGTAATGTGTGTTGCAACCAGACATGAAAATAAACATTCCACATTTCCCAAGGGGAACATCTAAGTAAGTGTTATGAGAAGGAAAAAACAAACAAAAAGGATTTTATTGTCAAATAAGTTTCAAGTACACTGAATTAAAATTAAACATCTTTACTACAAAACTTCTCAGAGCCTTGAATATGCTACTGTGCATTGTAAATTTCCCAGAGAATGCTGTGCATGCATTGTGTTTCAGATTTTCCTCGGGAGCCTCTTGAAGTTGTCTTACTTTGGGAATCACACTTTAAGAAAGGCCGTCCTAGATGCCCGCTGGTTGCCTGTCAGTCATTTTCAGTCATGCTGCAGTATGGTTCACATTTTCTACATTCTGACATTCTCTGGGTTTGATTTCTGATCATTATTGTGGCTACTTAGCTCACCTCAGAGTTTGATTTAAAATGTTAGCGAAAGCACCCAAACTTGGTCTTAATTTTCTGTTGTTTCAAGAAATTTCGGACTTCAGCTCCACATTTCTTACCCTACTAAATTTACTTTTGAGCATACTATGCACTAAAGACATTCAGCCAATGTCTTCCAGGTGGATCTTGCTTCTATTCCTCTTGGCTGAAAGAACTTTCTTGAACTTATGTCAGTGTTCCTGTGCTTGATGTTTATTTGAAAACTTGTGTTTACTATTGACTCATACTCTATCCTTATATTTTAGCATTTTGTATTTGGGGAGAAATGCCTTTTGAAATAACATTTGTATCTACTGAAATGAACATTTAAAGTCACAAGTTTTTAATATAAATTTCCAAATGACAAAAGAACCCAGATCTTTTTTTCACAAATATTTCACTTCCATCTCCTTCTCTTAAAACTAGTTTCTATTATTATTCTGGAAACGATCATAACTTTTTCATTGGTGATTTCTTCTATTTCCTTAGGTAAATCATGAAAGAGTTTGACCATATCTTAGCAGTAACAATGCAGATTTTATCATAAAGACCTAATCAAGAATAGATTAGGAACTGATGTTTTAGAGATTGCAAGATGGAATGATTCCATTCAGATTCCTCTTAGAAATATGTTGCTGTAAAGATAAAATAAGACTTGGATGTTTTTAATGGACATTGTTTCCAGCTTCTGCAGAAGTAAGTTGTGATGCTATTTGGGAGAAGGACCTCAATTCACACATTTGCTACCAGTTCAACCTGCTTTCATCTCTCTCTTGGAGTGAGGCACATTCTTCATGCCAGATGCAAGGATGTGCACTATTAAGTATTACAGATGAAACTGAAGAAAATTTCATAAAGGGTAAGTAGGTGGATGATGCACATTGATATTGATACAATAAAAAGGCTGTTGTTAACTGTTTTCACATGTACAAAAATATATGCTGAAAAAAGTTCTTAAAAAATATTTTTATTTCCTTAATATGGCCCAAAACTCCCAACGAAAATTTTTCCATGAACGCTGAGTGATTCCATTTGACATCCAATGATGTCTTTTTTATTTTCTCTCCCTTGGAAAAGAGAATTTGAAGCCACAGCAAGGGACCCAGGAAAGTTGCAATGCTAACAAGTAGATCAGGAAGATTTCTAAATTTAAGGGCTAGTTTTTCTCTTCTGGAGATTTTAGCCATTCCATTTTCATTAATAAATCATTAAGCATTTTATTAATTGAACAAGATCTTACCTATCACTCACCATGTGCAGGTACATCATAGGCCTTCTGGTGGGTACCAAAAAAAACTCTTGAAATTTAACGGGAAAAGCAAAAGCACATGTATGTTAACTAACAGTATAGATAATAATATGTTAAAAGAATTGTGCTGATAAACTAAGACTTATGTTTCATCACCTAAACTCTCCTCTTACTTCTCCTTTATACATTAAATGTGTTTGTATGTGTGTACATACACCTCTTTAAAAACTTGTGGAAACATTAGAAAATATCACAAAATTAGTCATTTTTATTAATAGTTTTTGATGCCAATTTTTGTCCAATTTTATTGCATATATAGTACATGTTTATTTTAGAATAATTTTTAAGATTCAGGTATATAGAAAGAAAAACCAATGAAAAAGTTCCTATAGTTCTATAATCCAGAGATAACTGTGTTTCTCTGCAAAAATATATGAATGCATGTGTACATATATAGTATATATAAAAAATGATATTATATAAAAATGTGGCAGCAGCCAGGCGCGGTGGCTCACACCTGTAAACCCAGCACTTTGGGAGGCCAACGCAGGTGGATCAATGGAGGCCAGGAGTTTAAGACTAGCCTGAACAACATGGTGAAACTCCCTCTCTACTAAAAATACAAAAATTAGTCAGACGTGGTGGCACACACCCATAGTCTCAGCTACTCAGGAGGCTGAGGCAGGAGAATCACTTGAACCTGGGAGGCGGAGGATGCAGTGAGCTGAGATTGCACCATTGCACTCCAGCCTGGGCAACAGAATGAGACTCCATATCAAAACACATAAACAAAAAATTAAATAAAAACATGGCAGCTATCGCATAGTGGTTAGGAGCAGGGAGCCACCTGCCTAGGTTTAAATCCTGCCTCTACTACTTGAGTACCGCGGTTGCTCAAGCAGCTGATTTAACCACCCTATGCCTCAATTTCCCCCTACCAAGTGGAAATAATAATAATGCAAATCCTTGGTGTGGATTACATATTTTAATGTAGGGGAAATTGAGAAAAGTGCCTGGCACACATAATAAACACTCAGTGTGTGTTAACCATTTAACAATAACTGTGTACACAATTCAGTAATCTAGTTATTTTGTTTACCTGCATATAATGAACATTGGCCTGGATCTATAAATATAGATCTACATTATAATTTTCAATTGTTACAAAGTAGTACAGGTTCGTGGTAATATATTGATCGAATCTCCTTTTATTAGAGATACTGATAAAACTATTTGTTCTGTTATTTATTTATTTGTTGATATTATAAAACATCCCTGCACATATCTTTGTGCATACATCCCCCTTTATTTCTCTATAAGTTTGAAGAAGAGGGTTCACTGGATGGAAAAGTAAGCACATTTTCAAGCTTTTGAAAGTCATTAACGTCTTCCAGAAGGATTGTAAGCAACAAATGAACAATGCGTGCCCACCCTTTCCCCATAGCTATGCAGAAGTCAGAAATTATTATTGAATTTTATTTGAGTAAGTCATAGTGCAGGAAAACATCAATTTTCAAAATCATTATAAGCCTGGAATGGTTTTTATGTAAAAGTTTGCACACCATTTATGAATTACAATTATCTATCTTAACTGCCAGGATTTCTCATGAGACAGTCTGGACTTATTCATCAAATTTGAATCACAATTTTAAAAATAAGACATGTCAGGAACTTTGATTTAACTACCTCAGTTCTATAATTAGTCTTTGGGAAATGTTTGGAAAAACAGAAGTCTATTCATAAAGGCAGAAACCTGTTCCAACCAAGGTATTTTTTAATGATGAAAATAGTCTAATGTTTCTTGCTAATTCTGGTGAACATATACTATGGTATAAGGAATTATCTAAGCTGTCATGAATGCCAAGAAATATCCAAAGGAATTTAAATTCAAGCTTCTTATTACAGTATTGTGAACCAGCTTAGTCCTAAAGGTAAATAGATGGGTTTTTTGTGCCTTCAGACACAGATTATAAATTGCACAATGATTTTTTATGTTTATTATTAAAATGATTGCACAATTGGCATTCAAAACAATTCTAAGATTAAAATAATTAATGTTTTAATATTTTAACTTGATTTTAAAATATCACTTGGCACTTGTCTGGATGTAAAATGTGAAAATTTCTCCCTGCCTTGTCAATCCATTTCACTTCTTATCATCATAAGACCTGTTAAATGATTTAATCAAATGGTGATATTGAAAGGAATAATCAAATGGACATTAAAAAGAGATTCCATGTGAATGCCACAGAAATTTGGAAGGGCGAAACCCATGTATAGCATGCTATTTCTGTTTATTGATTTCTGGGAGTCTCAAAATTATAAAGCACCTTTTTCTCTTTTTTAAATGGGTTAGGCTCTTTGAGTTTTTCACAATTGTATTGAAATGTCTCATCACTGAGGATGCTGCAGCCTTGTTATATGACTACAATAACCTTCACAACCTGGGCAATCATACAATCTATCATCCAAACTGAGACTCTTTTGAGAGTAAAAGGGACTGTGATTAATAATTATTCTGGAACTAGCAGCATGAACCATGAGTTTTCCAGGAAAACTGGGGCATACGGTCACCCTGTTTATAACCCGTATCCATCAGGGTCTTGATCTCAGGCAGGACCCCTGTATCTGACTAAAAATAAATTGGGCTCTGAAGCGGGTGAATCGTAAGAGAACAATGCTCTCCTTTGTAGATTAGATGAGTAAATGGCAACATTTCAAAGTTTCACAAAATTGCCACTTTGATTAAGTTTCTGACACTGGGTTTTGGTCCCCCCCCCAAAAATTTTACTGCACAAGTAGTACCTATTTGTTCTGGAATAATGTTTAAAATGTAGGTGCACAAAAAGAAAAACTGAAGAAAAATTTCCGTAATTCTATAACTTTGATAACTATGTTTTTCTGCACATCAATGCATGTTTTTATTCATAGTATCCATAACAAAAATGGTATTGCATTAAACTGCAAGTTGTGGTGGACTGGTTAAGAGCAGGGACCACAGAGCTAGCCTGCCATAAAATCTCCCACCTCAAGCTATGTAAGCAGCTTCCAGTTTGCACTGCACACAGCCTTAGGTCCCGACCTGATAGGGATCCCCTGAGACACTCTGGTCCCTCTTCTTGAGCAGACAACTCCTGGTGGCTCTCACACTGTACAGCCCTCGCTGATCTACTTATTTTAGCACACTTTTTTTTTTTTTTGAGACAGAGTTTTTTGCTCTTGTTGTCCAGACTGGAGTGCCATGGCGCGATCTCGGCTCCCAGGTAGCTGGGATTACAGGCATAGGCCACCACGCCCGGCTAATTGTTTTTGTCTTTTTAGTAGAGATGGGGTTTCTCCATGTTGGCCAGGCTGGTCTTGAACTCCCGAGTTCAGGTGATCCGCCCGCCTCGGCCTCCCAAAGTGCTGGGATTACAGGCATGAGCCACCGCGCCTGGCCTTCAGCGCACCTTTTTAGCTTTGAAGACGTGCCTCTGTTTACTTTCTGGGAGCGACCCTACACACCTGCTCCTCCACCCTATGAAACCTTTAAGTTCATGAGCTCACTCAAGTAAGACGGCCTCAAGCGTGCAACCTTGCATCCTTGTCTAGATTGACAGCCACTGAAAGGCAACATTTCTAGGTACTTGCATGAAGCATTCACAGCTGAAAAACAGCAGTCAGTGAGCTGCTCTGTTCCTCAAGATGGTGGGAACCAGCTTTATCACTCAGAAGCACCACGTGCATTCTGTGCACCTTTCCTGTCCTTGACTGGGATTAATTTCTGACTCCATGATTCAGGAACAGGAGAGCAAGAAAGACATGTAATACTGGATTTTTTTTTTTTTTTGAAGCTCCATAATTTTCATTTCAGAGCACGTGAGCAGTAAAGCAGTGGAGGTGTGGATCGGTCTCAATCAGCTGGATGAACACGCTGGCTGGCAGTGGTCTGATGGAACGCCGCTCAACTACCTGAACTGGAGCCCAGGTATCCGAGGTGTTTTCCTTGCCTTCATCATGTGGCACCATCCTGCAGCCTTACACAGCACCATTTCCCATGCACATAGGGCATGCTTTTGTGAGAGTAACTTATAAACATCTTTTAGCCTGAGTGAATTCCTTTAAGGCAAGCTTTTCCAAACAAAAAAATAGAGACCAAGGAGATAAGCTTTTTAGCCAAAGTTGCAGGAAGGTTTGAGTGCAAGCCAAGATTTCAGTCTGCAGTTTTAAAAATAGCAACAAATTCCAAAATATCTCTCTACTTTAAAATAATAAAATTGGGTCTTTTGGAATCTTTGGGAAATCATTTAATTGACATGCCTGCAAAATCATAGATAACATCTTATAGGATATAACATCTTATAGTATCTACTATATATGACAAATAGAAGGGCTGTCCCCTTGATGCCAAAACTACATTTCAATATATATTAAACTAAATGCGTTTGCTTCTAACATTAAACACACTCATTGTATTTTCAGAGGTAAATTTTGAGCCATTTGTTGAATATCACTGTGGAACATTTAGTTTGTTTATGCCAAGTGCCTGGAGGAGTCGGGATTGTGAGTCCACCTTGCCATACATATGTAAAAAATATCTAAACCACATTGATCATGAAATAGTTGGTAAGTGTTTTTAAGTTGTTAGATGTTGTTTACTTGTCCTCTCAGTATATGTAAATTCCTCTATTTTTTGCTAATAGTTCATAATGTAAACTTAGCTAAAGCTAGTTGATCTTTACATAAAAAAAAATTTACGTCAAAGGGACTATGAATTTGTTAACAAATGCATTTAGGTTTTTACTAAAAACTGAAATAAAATGAGCATAACAAACATTTTCTTCCTGTCTTTTACAAAAATTGTACTATTAGTTATTCTGGATCCAAAAAATAAGATATGTTTATTTTTCTATTCTAGTGTTGAGTTTTAGTTATTGTTCCCCTAAAAATTAAACATAATTTAGAAAACAATTTTATAGAATTATTTGCTTCATTGATTTTCTGCCACACTCTGAATCTCTTATTAGTAATACCATCTCCTCCCTGAAATCACATGCAGAACTTTTAGATGGAGTTGATACTTAAATAATACCTAATTACAATCTAGTACCAGAAGTCCAATTATTTCTGTTTTTAAAGTCTATGACCTCTATAAGGTCTATAGTTTCTGTGAGAATTAATGTCTTAAATCAGAAAGTAGAGATAAAAGTATAACCATTTTTTAAAGAATCATTACAAAAATAATCAGAAAAAAACTCTAGATTTAAAATAAGCTGAATTATCATTTTTAAATATTGTCCCTTACAATTTGGTTTTAACTTTCATTTTCCTTTAAATAGCTAAGCCTAGGAGTTTTATAGAATATGAGGTGCAACCTGGGGAAAGAAGCATCATCGTGCAGTTTTTTTTCCATTGTTTCAGGAGTTTGCTGAAATTACTACCACCTGTTACTGTCCTTTTCCCTCCCTCTCTTCATTCTTTCATGTTCCTTTCTCCATTCCTTCTCTCTTCATTTTTTCTTTCTTTATTATGCCATCTTGCATTCCCTGCTGCCACCCCTCTTTTATTCTGTTATATTTATCCTTCTGATCTGCTAGTTGAGATCAGAAGACCAGAAATGGGAGTAGTTAAGTTAGCTTGTTTGGATTATTTGCTGTTGCTTCAAGTTCAAGAAATTCTTCTGCAGATTGATTGAGTCCACTGGCTTCAACCTTTGTGCTTCCCCTGCTTCAATCAGAGAAGATCATCTTTAAAATTCCACGTGTTATTGTTTTTGTCTTTGTTTTTGTCTTGCTATTGTCACCCAGGCTGCAGTGCAATGGTACAATCTTGGCTCACTGCAACCTCCACCTCCCAGGTTCAAGCGATTCTCATGCCTCAGCCTCCTGAGTAGTTAGAATTACAGGCACCCACCACCATGCCCAGCTAATATTTGTATTTTTAGTAGAGTTGGGGTTTCACCACGTTGGCCAGGCTGGTCTTGAACACCTGACCTCAGGTGATCCGCCCACCTGGGCCTCCCAAAGTGCTGGATTGCAGGCATGAGCCACCACGCCCAGCTTAAAATTCCATGTTTAAAAATGATTCTGTGAGTGTTTTTTTAGGCTGAAAACCTCTGGAGTCAATAATATATAAAGTTCTAACATTCTTTGGCCATGATTCTAATTTGCTGTCGGAGTCCTAGAAACAATTTTAAAAGAAAGTTTTGCTTCCCAAATAGCAGTGAAATCATATTTAGTTTAACTAAATTAGTTCTTAATGGAGGCACCTAGTTGTGGTTAATAAAATAAGGTAAAAATGCCATCATCAGACTGGGGGCAAACTCCTGAGAAAGGAAAGTCAAAATGCAGCTATATGCATCACCACTGGCCTCCAATGTCCAAAGCATCATGGCACTGAGTTCCTGTAAGTCCCACTCAGAGTCCCTATCAGTCCAGAGCAATGCCACAGACACTCAGACTTATCTTCAAAGTGAAACCTATTTGTCATCCCCATTTTAGAGGAAGTCATCAGAGTTTTAGGCTCTTTTCAGCTGGGGATAAATATCTACCTTACTCATACACTATGTATAAAATCCTTGGAATACTTTAAATAGTTTTCCATAATGCTTCTAAATGTAAAAAGGTTTCAAAAATGAACAGCTCTGTTAAATTTTATACCTAGCCCCAACACTCTGCTTTCATTGTATGTCCTTTGTTAAGACTCTTTACTTCTTTGGTTTTGTTGTTGTTTGTTTGCTTTACTTTTTTACTATTTTTTAGCACAAAAGTTGCTGTGTGTATTTAAAGTATACAACATGATGTCATAGGATACATATATATAGTACAATGGTTATTATAGTGAAACAAATTAACACATCCATCATCTCACTTAGTTACTCATTTCCCCCAATGTGACAAGAGCAACTATATTCTCCTCATTTAGCAAAAATCCTGAATACACCACATTAACTATAAACCTCATGCTGTACAGTAGACTTTCAGACTTGTCCTTCCTCCATATCTACTATTTGTATCCTTTATCCTACCCCTGCTCATTTTCCCTCATTGACCCCTAGTAACCTTTTATCCATTCAACTATTCTGTGTTTGGATTAGATAATTTAATCAATTTGCATTCAAAGTAATTATTCATAGGTAAGGACTTACTACTGCCATTTTGTTCATCGTTTTCTGGTTGTTTTATAGATTTATTTTCTTCCTCTCTTATTGTTTACTTTTGTGATTTGGTGTGTGTACCAAATTTTAATTCCTTTCTCTTTATCAGTTATCTGCTATAGTTTTGTTTTGTTGTTTGTTTTGTGGTTTTTTTGTTTGCTTTGTGGTTATCATATGGCTTACATAAAACATCTTATAATGGACTATTTTACACTACTAACAGCTTAACTTTAGTTGCATACAATCACTCTAGATTTTTACCCTACCCACAATGGTTAAAATTTTTATTGTACAAGTTACATCTTTTAATATTGTGTATTTCTTAATTTATTGTAGCTATAGTTATGTTTTACCATTTTGGTTATTTATTTATTTCCTTATTTATTTATGTTTTAGAGACAGGGTCTTGTTCTGTTACCCAGGCTGGAATATGGTGGCATGATCATAGCTCGACCTCCTGGGTTCAAGTAATCCTCTTACCTCAGCTCCCAAAGTGCTGGGATTACAGCCATGAGCCACTGTGCCCAACCTATTTTTGACAATTTTGACTTTAATCTTCAAACTAGAGATATAAATCATTTACAGACCACCATTACAGTATTTGAGTATTCTGAACCTGACTATATATTTACCTCTAAGGAAGAAGGGGTACTCTGGAGGTTTGGCTCCAGGGAACAGAGCAGGGCTGTAATTTTGGAACCAGAACCAGTGTGGCACAGTGGCAACTCAAGCTCTAGGGGATGAAGCATCAGGCATTGGTGACTCCAGACCCTGAAATGGTAGGACACAGCAGTATCTCAGGCTCTGTGAGATCAGGTTCCGTAGCAGCAAGGACCCAGGAATGGTAGCATGTAGCTGTGGCTTGTTTCCTAGGGGACAAGGAGCAGCAAAATGATGACTCCACTCCCTGGGAAGGTAGCGTGCCTCAGCAGCTCAGGCTTTGTGGGACTAGTCCAGTTCCAGGAAAGCAGGGTGCTATAGCTGTTTGGCGTGGAGGGCAGGATGTCCCAGCCCTGCCAATGCTGTTTCCCTTGGATGCACGGTAACACATCAGCTAAGCCCCAGGAAGCACAGCTGCTCAGCTCAGCCAAGGCATCCATTCTCCCCTGATGGGGCTGATTCAGCTTAGGTGCTGGTGGTTATGATTGCTTTGGGCAGCTAAAGCACTGTTTCCCCTGGATTTGGGAGCCACTTCAGGTACCAGGCATGTGACTGTTCTGGGCAGCCAGGGTAGGGATTCCTTGGGAGGCAGGGCACCACTTCAGCACACACACTAGGAACATGACTGCTCTGGGCAGCCAAGGCACCATGTTTTTGGAGGCAGGGTAATGAGCCAGATCAGCCTCTGAGGGGCACAGTACAGCAACAACCAGAAAGGGTAGATGGAGCAGCTCGTGGCAGCTTGGCCATACCAGGTAGAGTGAGGGCCCCACAGTAGTTTGGCATGGGAATGGTGGGCCACGAGATAAAAGTAGTGCAGTGGTTACAAAGCCTCAAGGATGGAAGGGTGCTGTGACTACTTACCACTGGAGCAGAACATGACATTCTAGCAGAGGTTCCTTTTTCAAGATGGTGCAGTGTAGTAGCCCCATAGGCCACAGAGAGACAGGGTTACAGCGTCAGAACTTTCTCTGGGGCAAGCATAGTCTTGTAGACTCCAAGCATCCCCTTCAACTGTGCTTAGTGCCTGTGAGGACTGCAGGCATCCCCAATCTGATGGAGTTGGAGGCTGCTGGGGTCTACTTGCTCACCCTTTCCTTACAGGGAGAAGTCCCTCCTTGCTCTAATCTACTTCCAGTGGGGGTTTGGGAGATGGTGGTGGGGGTGGCAAGGGTTTCTGTGCTCCATATTGTTTCTGCTACTCCCTTAATGTGCTCTAGCACCCTTCTTCAGCTGCCTTCGTGAAAATGTAGTCATTTATTCATGACTTTGGCTGTTCCTGTGACAGGGATGAGCTCCAGGTGCTACCAAAAGGGGTCTTGATCCAGATCCCAAGAAAGACTTGGAGCAAATCCCTAAAATGGAAAAAGCAAGTTTATTAGGAAAGTAAAGGAGTAATGAAAGGCTACTCCAAAGGCAGAGAGCAGCAGCTTGGGCTACTCAGCTGATTACACTTAGAGTTCTTTCTCGATTATATGCCAAACAGGGGTAGATTATTCGTGACTTTTTTGGGAAAGGGGCGTACAAGTCCCAGAACTGAGGGTTCCTCCCCATTTTAGAGCATAGAGGGTAACTTCCTAATGTTGCCATGGCTTGTAAACTGTCATGGCACTGGTGGGAGTGTCTTTTAGCATGCTAATACATTATAATTATTGTGTAATAAGCAGTGAAGATGACCAGAGGTCACTTTCCTCACCATCTTGGTTTTGATGAGTTTAGGTCGGTTTCTTTACTGCAGCTTGTTTTATCAGCAAGGTCTTTGTGACCTGTATTGTGCTTTCTATCTCATCCTATGACTTAGAATGCCTTACTTCCTGGGAATCCTGCTCAGTAGGTCTCAGTCTTATTTTAATCAGCCCCCAAACAAGATGGATTTGCTGTTGTTCAAAGGCCTCTGACAAAGGTGTCTCTGTCGGCCATCTTGCTGCCATCCCTCCTCTCCTTACTTCTTTGTACCTTCACTAGCTCATCTGGAAAATGAAAGACTGAGGTTCATTTGATCCTAGATCTAGATCTAGATCATAGATTAGGCCCTTCTCAACTCTGAAGATCTAGAATTCCATGATTTACGTCATTTTGTGTATTTCTGTTTTTCACATTTTTAAAGTAATCATGCTGATGGCAATTTACATAAACTGTAGTAAGTAATGTTAAAATAATTGTGGAAAATGACCTTGTTTTTTGTTGGTTTAAAAAGAAAAAGATGCTTGGAAATATTATGCGACCCACTGTGAGCCTGGCTGGAATCCTTACAATCGTAATTGCTACAAACTTCAGAAAGAAGAAAAGACCTGGCGTGAGGCTTTGCATTCTTGCCAGGCTGATAATAGTGCATTAATAGAGATAACCTCATTAGCGGAAGTGGAGTTTCTTGTAACCTTCCTTGGAGATGGTGAGTCCCAACTGCCTTTGGTTTAATAGGTATAAAATATAATGTAGTAACTACTTTTATTAGTAGAGTTGAAAAGAAATTTAAGCTATTTAAAAGTGGCTATTCATGGCACATATATTTAAAGTTTCTAAATGATATTCAGTAATTTAAATTTATTGAATTTTTACAAAATACATGTTCAGAACTTTGTAACATCTTCACATATGCCACATATATTAGATGATTTTTAACTTTTTTTAAAGTAGGAAAGTTTATTTCCTAAAACTTGGGATGAATAAGCTAAACCTGTAATTTAGCTTTATGGCCACTAGACAGCAGTAGTGTGCTGTTAGCATGTAATCCACATAATACAGGGAATCCCTAAGGCAAATAATTGGATTTAAACAATTTTTGCCAGTGAACATGGGTAATTTATTTGGTGAGGTGGTCAGACTGTACCCCATGTATAGGAGTTTCAGGATGCTGGCTTCCACCCAGCCTGAGTCCATCAAAGTGGATCTGCTCCTCACTGTGTCATGCATTTGACATAAACTTCTGCTGGAAAACCACTGAAATTACTGATTTCATTTTTCAGTTTTTAAAAATACAAAAGATTACCAGGATCTACTTTGATGACCTTTTCAATTGTTAGCTTTTAGTTGGAGTAAAAACATGCATCCTTCTCTGTTATTTTTCCGAATCCTTCACATTTGGGATTAAAAGAACCCTATGGGCTGCTTATCTCACCAAGGGCACTTACACATCTCTTTGAGTCACATAGGGTCCTTTCCTACCTAGGTTGCCAAGTTTTAACTACTTTTCCAGCAACCCCATTTCAATGCCTTTAAGAGGTTTCGCTCCTTTCTTCCTATGGCAGAAAAAATTAAAAGGAAAAAACATACTTTAAAAACCAGGTTTAAGAGGTGATTATTCCTTGCATGCATATATTGCAGTGGTGAAGTCTGGCCTTTCAGTGGCCCCATCATGCATTGTACTCAACAGGCAATTTTTTAACCCTCAATCTCACCCTACCACCTTTTGGAGTCTCCAGTGTTTATTATCCTACTCTGTATATCCATGTGTCTCCATTGTTTAGCTCCCACTTATAAGTGAGAGCATGTAGTTTTTGACATTCTGAGTTATTTCACTTAGCAGAATCGCAAGTGCCATACCTTTGTGCAAAAGATATGATTTCATTCTTTTTTTATGGCTAATATCCTATAGTGTGTTTGTGTGAGTGTGTATGTGTGTGTCCATATTTTATTATCCAACCCTCCTCTGATGGATACTTATATGATTCCATCTTTTCTATTGTGATTAATGCTGTGATAAACATATGTGTACAGGGAAAAAAATCATTATATCAAAAATTATTTTTTGATATAATGATTTTTATCCCTTTGAGTATATACCCAGTAGTGAGGTTGCTGGATTGAATGATAGTTCTATTTTTAGTTCTCTGAGTAATCTCCATACTGTTTTCCATAAAGGCTGTACTAATTTACACTCCTATCAATAGTGTATAGGTGTTCCTTTTTGTGCATCCTCAACAACATCTGTTGGGGAAAAAAAAAAAACACATATCTTTAAGCTAGGCCATCATTAAAAGTTTGTTTGTTTCATGCCCTTTTCATAATCCAGTGGGACTTCCTATTTTTCCTTTCTCTAGGCAGAAGCAAAACCAGACTTTTCAGATCTACCTAACATACATACATGGTTGTAGCAGAAACCAGAGCCCCAGGAAGCCAACTTGCTTAGGTTTTGTTGTTGCGTTGGCTTTAGCTCACACTCTGTCTCACTTACAAGGCCTATATCAAGCAGATCTGGATATTATGGGAGTGTGTTAGTCCATTTTCTGTTGCTTATAATAGAATACAAAGAAACCGAGTAATTTATAAAGAAAAGAAATTTATTTCCTATAGTTATCAAGGCTGGGAAGTTCAAGGTCAAAGGGCCACATCTGCAGAGGGTCTTCTTGTTGGAGGAGATTCTCTGCAGAGTCCCATGGTAGCACAGGGCATCCCATGGAGAGGGGACTGAGTGTGCTATCTCAGGTCTCTTTTCCTCGTCTTATAAATCCACCAGTACCATTCCCATGACAACCAGTTAATCCATTAACCCATTAATCCGTTCATCAGGGCAGGGCCTTCATGACCCACTCAACCCTGAAAGGCCCCCCTGTCAATACTGCCACACTGGGGATTAAGTTTCAACCGGAACTTTGAAGGGGAAAAACATTCAAACCATAGCAGGGAAGGGAAAACATTTAAACAGATATTTTATACTGAGACTTAAGCAAGCTTCATCACACAAAGAAATAAAGAAGAAATCACATGTGAAGTGGTCTACTTTGCTGATAACTCCAGGGTGTTATCGCCTTTGCAAATAATAGGATCCCGTAAGTAATTTACATTTATCTCTTACAGAAACTGCATCAGAAACATGGATTGGTTTGAGCAGCAATAAAATTCCAGTTTCCTTTGAATGGTCTAATGACTCTTCAGTCATCTTTACTAATTGGCACACACTTGAACCCAAAATTTTTCCAAATAGAAGCCAGCTGTGTGTCTCAGCAGAGCAGTCTGTAAGTCGATTCATTTGTTCAGTGTTCACTTTGCTGATCTTGTACTGAAGGCCACCTGTGCTGGAGCCTTGGGTTGTGACAGAGACCAAGACAGGCACAGTCCCGGCTCCTTATAGGCCTTCCATATTAGGGAGTAAACAAGTACACGCAGAAAAAAAAACCATGGCAATTATAGTTGTAATGATTGCGCCAAGGAAATATGTGACATGATAGTGAAAAGTCTGGGTTAAGGCAGGACAGGACAGTCAGAAAGCATTTCTGAAAAGATGACATTTAAGCTTGGACTTCAAAAAACCTCTTAAAGAGAAAGGAAGAGAATATTCTAAGCAGAACATGCATAGGGTAGCAAGTGCAAAGACCCAAAGGCAGACCAAGACTTGTCTTGCTGAATGATCAAAAAGGAGACCAGTGGTGAGGAGGTCATAAGAGATGGGCAGCAGAAATTCTAAAATGCCAGGTTTCTAGGCCATGGTATAGGAACCACTAAAGTGCTTCAGGGAAACAAAGGGCATGATCTGATTTACATTTCAAAATTCGCTGTGGCTGCTGCACAGAAAATGGTTAGGAGAGGGATAAAATGGAAGCAGAAAAGCCAGTTTGGGGGCTACTCTGGAGTTGAATTAGGGTAGTGACTGTGAAGAGAAATAGACAGATCCAAGTGTGCTTTGGAGAACAGGAGGTGTTGCTAAGTTAGATGTGGGGGCGAGAGAGAACTCAGCTTTTGGCTTGAGCAACCATGGCTTTGGTGGATAGTGGTGCCATTGACTGCCTTGATGAAGAAGAAGGGAAGAACTAAGGGATGGAAGATTACTCTGGAGAGGGATAGTGTTTAAGCTCTGTTATCTTATTCACATAAAGGGGTTTAAACAGTGTGTGCAACCTCTTTGAAAACTGTGGATCAGTGGCAAAAAAAAAATCTTGCTCTTTTCCTCGTGTGTGTGGAGTGGTCCCAGTGGCCTGAACATCACACTCATCCCTGTGTTCTAGTCTCTCATTTATCTAAAGCACCTGATTATACAGAATTAGTTTAATCCCAAGCCATTTGAACAGTTTATTATGTCTAAAACAGACTTAATCTCTTTGATCAAGATAGCTGCTGAATGCACTGGCTGAGTTTCAGGAGGTTGTTGGGACTTGGTAGATATCCTTATTCTTTCTAACCACCAGGATACTCTGTCAAGTTCCCCCAAGAGGCAGTTTATTAAATGTTACTGACGTGGCTTGACAAAGTAATTATGCCAGCCAAACAGGAGCATTTCTAAGCACTTAACTTTTGTGACATGTTTCATGGTTTCATCTTTTAATGCTGGCATAGACAAATTACAATTGTACAGCGCAGTAACAGTTATACAAGCTAAGGCGGTGTTTCTCAGCCCCATGTGAAGAAGGAGAAATAATACCTCTAAACGTTTGTCTGGGTCTAGCTCTGCTGAAATCCACCATAGTGTTTTGTTTGTTTGTTTCTGAGACAGAGTCTCACTGGCACCCAGGCTGGAGTGCAGTGGTGTGATCTCAGCCCACTGCAACCTCCACCTCCCGGGTTCAAGCAATTCTCATGTCTCAGCTTCCCAAGTAGCTGGGATTACAGGCCTGTACCACCATGCCTGGCTAATTTTTGTATTTTTAGCAGAGATGGGGTTTCATGTTGCCCGTGCTGGTCTCAGACTCCCAGACTCTACCTTCCTCAACCTCCCAAAGTGTTATGATTGCTGGTGTGAGCCACTGTGCCTGACCTACCACGATTTGTTCTACAGTATCTGTTGATTTATTGGTTCATTGGTTTTGATATAATTTAGGTGATCATTTCTTATTGGCAGGAATGGGGATTTTTTTTTTAAGAGATTGAGGATAGGTATTAATGGTATTGGATATGTCAGGATATGCTGTAAGTGTAATACTTTGTGGCCCCTGTTTTGGCAGCTCAGAAGCTCCTTAAATAGTAGATGTGTAAAAATTAACATTTATTGACATGGAGTAGAACTCAGTATGAATATCATTATTATAATGAACAAGTTACGGAATCACAGTTGACACAAATTTGAATATGAGAGCCTAGGAAACAATTCATTTGTTCTTCCATTCATCTAACAGTTCTTAACTGCAGTATGCCTGACGGTATCCTGTAACTGGATAGTTTGCTGGAAGACTCCATGGGGAGCAATGCAGGGCTCCTCTTACAGATGAAAGAGTCAGCCTTGGATGTTGTATTTTTCTGAGGGTCCTGGAAGGGCTCCACATTCTTCTAAAACTCTGGATGCATGAAATACCACCTGGAATTTAAATTGTGTAATTTTAGCCTAAGGTTCTGCTTTGTGGGAGGATAAAATTTTAATCTGTTAGCAGTTATTATATCATTATGAATGAAAGACCTGAAAGAAGCTTTAGATAGGATGAGAGAAAGACATGAAGGTATCTGCCTAGCATATAAAAAGGAAATGGGGTGGTGCTGTGAAGAATTCCTGATGAAAGGATCATTGAAGGTTGACATTAATTTCAGTTATGCCAGTATTACATAGGATGTTTCACGGCAGCTTGTAGGAATTTCCCCGGCATCACGTATATATGTGAAAGCAGCAAAGCATTTAATGTAACACTTAGAAGTGGTTGAAGAGGGGCATCAGCACTCTCACTTGGTCAAGAGGATGGCTTCATCCCAGTGGTTCCCACAGTGTGACCCCCAGACCAGCAGCATTAACATCACCTGAAAACTTGTTAGAAATGCCAATTCTCAGGCCCCACCACACCTATCGAATGAGACACTGGTCATGCGGCTAGTCATCTACATTTCAATTAGCCCTCCAGGTGCTTCTGGAATACACTCAAGATTGAGAATCATGGCTCCATCCCATCTTTTCATGGAAAAATTGAAAGCAGCTTAATGAAAAGCCAGGCTGACCTTGGTATCAATTCTAGCTCCAATCTTTACTGACTCTAGGACCATGTCAAATGCTAACTCTAACCTTTAAAATGGGAATAATAATCCTACCTCCCTGGAACGTTGAGATAATATATGAAAATCACCCTGCATGAAACCTAACTCATGGCAGCAATCAAGAAGCACCGGTTATTATTAGTTGCACCCTCTCTCCTGCCTACTCAGTTACAGATCACACATCTTGAAACTCGTGCTGGAGAGAGGGGCCTCCCATCCCTAGACAAAGTGTTAACTCTTTCCGTGACAAAGTGGGGTGCTGCCTGAAACATCATCCCATGTGGGAGCACATTATTAATCATATTTTTATTTCTAAGAATTGGTATTGCCCATCAGCATCAGCACAGAGTATATTCATTCTCTGGTAACATTTTTCTTCTTAGGAGGGACACTGGAAAGTCAAAAATTGTGAAGAAACGCTGCTTTATATTTGCAAGAAAGCAGGCCAGGTCCTCTCTGATGCTGAATCAGGATGTCAAGAGGTGAGTGCTGTTAACATTGCAATTTAGGCACAGGGACTTCATAGCTAGAATATCAATTCCACCATCAATTTAAAGTGAATTTATCCGTCTTTCTCCTATCTCTCTCCCTCTCTCTCTCTGTCTTTCTCTTTTTTTCTCTCTCCTCCCTTTCTTTTCTTTCCTCTTTTTTAGTCCTGACTGTCTTTTGATCTTCTACATAGCATTACTTTTCTTTTGAGATTAAAAATGTAAATGATCCTGATAAACCATCTGTACAGTGACTATCCTGTGATGTGTGATGCCCTCAAACTTGGTTTTCTTTCCTTCCCTTCCTTCCTTCCTTCCTTCCTTCCTTCCTTCCTTTCTCTTTCTTTCTTTCTTTCTTTCTTTCTTTCTTTCTTTCTTTCTTTCTTTCTTTCTTTCTTTCTTTCTTTCTTGTCTTGCTCCATCACCCAGGCTGGAGAGTGCAGTGGCACCATCCCAGCTCACTGCAACATCCACCTCCCAGGCTCTAGCAATTCTCATGCCTCAGCCTCCCAAGTAGCTGGGATTACAGGCATGCACCACTCTGCCCAGCTAATTTTTGTATTTTTAGTAGAGACAAGATTTTGCCATGTTGGCCAGACTGGTCTTGAACTCCTGACCTCAAGTTATCTGCCTGCTTGGGCCTCCCAAAGTACTGGGATTACAGGCTTGAGCCACTATGCCCAACCTATGGTTTTCCTAGCTTTCAAGTGAGATGTCAGAGAACAACTGTTTCTTTGCCTCAGAGTAAACTATGCTGTATCAGTCTCAACAGTTTTCCAGACCTGGTTTTTATGCAGCTCTGCTTTAATTATTTTCTCTTCTAATCCAATTATTTGTGTTACAATTGAACAATGACCCATCCCTCTAGAATCTTCATTTTATTCATTAATCAATGTATAAACATGTGAACTACTCGTCATACTCTAGCTGGATAATAGATGTGCCATAGCTGACATGCCACCATTTTAGCAAATGATTACAATTTCTGAATTAGTTATAGCTGATCTCTGATTAATCTCTGCCTCATCTGAAATATTGAAGACGAGGCAGGGGCAAGGGTAGGGGGATTTGTCTTACTGTGGCTTTTTGGGAAACAACGTGTTTTATTTTAGTTGAAAGGACAATTAACTTCTTACACTGCAGAAACAGAACTGATGTTCTATTCAAACTTTTGTTCACTGCTTCCCTTTTCCAGCCAGCATTACCAGTATTTAGTTTCTGAGTTCATAGCCAGTTCTCCAGCTTTGTGAGGAAATTTCCATTAATTTTATTATGCATCAGTCTATGAATATGGTTTTGAAAGTTTTCTGTTTTTTAGAAAGTTGCTTCAATGCAATTCTCTAAACAGCATGCACTGAAAAAATCATTTTGTAAATTCGATCTCGATAATTTCAAAGCAAAAAAAAAAAAAGTGATTTGTTTTTCCTTCTGAGTCACTTTTTTGGGGATTGGACAATATGAGCAATTCCTTCAGTTTTGTCACCACCATCCTTTCATTTAAAAATGAAATGGCACCTAGCATACAAAGAGTTAACTGATATAATCAATTATCCTTCCCACATTCATTGTGTGGACAAAGCCTTGAAGTAACAAGTCTGTTTTTCTAATTATTCTATGCTGCATCTTTTTTTCCCTCCCTTTTCTTGAGCCTGTTCGGTTATTGGATTTTTTAAATTTGTTTTGCTAGGCAGGCTATGATCTAAAAACTACTAATGAAGAAGAAATACATTGTCAGAAAAGTCAAGTTGCCAGCCTCCCTCTCTCTGTCCTTCCAAGTATAGGAGCAGTCTAATATCCCTGCTCATACCCTGGAGAGATTCATGAAGGAGCTGTATGGAGCTGTCAGTTACTCACAGAGAGAAGACTGGGAGTAGAAGTGAAAGGAAGTGAGTTCAGAGCAGGTCCTAGATGGCTGGATGTGGGAGCTCCTGTGCTTCACACCTCAGTTAATGATATGTTTGAACTAACATAGGTGATTTCTAAATTAAGATTTTCCTTAATTTACTGCAAGACCTAAATCTTTTCCAAGAAATTTATGAGAAATCATTTTATAAGTAATCAAAAGCTGGCAAATATTGGCATGGCATAAAATAAAAAGTGTTTTAAAACTGGTGAATAAATTAAAATAGATATAAATGATGTGATTTAGTAACATTGGGAAAAAAGAACTAAAATAGCTCAGTTTAAATATAGAAGACTAATGAATGTATGTCTTCTGTACTGTATGATTTCAGATGAGATTGGGCATGTTCAGAGTGGTATGGCCACAGACTGTACTACATGATTTCAAAGAATAGCGCCACCCTTCATTTTCCCAGGGCTAAGACATAGATCTACATGTTTGTCATTTTTGTCTGAGTGCCAAAGCTTACGTTCTTCCTCTCTAAAAGGCCAGCCAGTTAATTTAGGAATAATCTCCACCAAAGAGAAAAGGAAAAAACACAAATATTGGCCATTCTGTATTTGGAAGCATTATGCTCCAACCAAGACCATCCTGGACTGTGCCAGAATTGGGTTTCAGGCCCAGCTGATCCACTCGTTTGACTTTATCCAAGTCCCTAATCTCAATGAATCTCAGTGGGATAACATGAAATAATCAGTATGAAAGTTGAAAAAAATCTATAATATTATCTAGATACATCTATTCTCTTTGTTCATGTTCTCTTTGCCCTCTATTCAATTCTAAAATCTCTGTCTGTGTTGTCCTTCTCTGATTCTCAGAACAGCCCCATAAATACTATTATTATCCTCAAATTGTATAGATGAAAAAACTAAGATATTAAATAAGGTTGCACAGTAGTGGAGCCAGAATTCAAACCCATGCATTCTGACTCCAGAGCCAATACTTAATTTCTACCCTCCTGTCAGGGCCATTTATATGAAATTCTGTAAGCCAGAGAGAGAGACTTACACACGCACACACACACACACACACACACACACACACATACACACACACAGAGAGAGAGAGAGAGAGAGAGGAGAGAGAGAGAGAGAGATCTTGAATGACTGCCTTTTTATTTTCATTTGCTTTTAAGGTTTTATGTTTTAAGGTTTTAAGTTAATTTAAAAAATTTAGATTTTAAGATAATAAATAAATGTGGAAAAGGCTATAGTTAATGGCATTACCAGATAGAATAAATATAAAAATATCAAGACAAAAACTCAAGGAGTTTTAAATGAGTAAGAGAAGAAAGTTATGTAGGTGGTAAAAGAGTATGCAAGAAGATTTCTTGGTATTTAACTAAATCAGAATGTGCCCTTAATTTCCCTTTTATGTTTTTAAGGGATGGGAGAGACATGGTGGATTCTGTTATAAAATTGACACAGTCCTTCGAAGCTTTGACCAAGCTTCCAGTGGTTATTATTGTCCTCCTGCACTTGTAACCATTACAAACAGGTAAATTAAACATTTTTTTAAACAGAAACAAGACTGCTTTGATGTGAGGGCTCTTGGAATGATAAAATCTAGCTACAATCATAACTTGTCAAAATCTAAATCATGCTATACATCAAAGTATTAAATTATTTAAATGAGATTAATTTAAATTATACTATGTTATTCCAGAATTGATTTTGAGTAATAAATAATAAAATTTAAGGTGAATTTTACTTTCTGTAAAGATTTTTTAATTATCCAGCTTTTCTAATATATTCAGCTGTTTTTAGATTTTATCCACCTCCTGGGTTCAAGCAATTCTTCTGCCCCAGCTTCCCAAGTAGCTGGGATTACAGGCACCTGCCCCCACAACCTGCTAATTTTTGTATTTTAGTATAGATGGGGTTTCACTATGTTGGCCAGGCTGGTCTCAAACTCCTGACCTCAGGTGATCCACCTGCCTCAGCTTCGCAAATTGCAGGGATTACAGATATGAGCCACCATGCCCAGCTGAAACACATTATTTAACAAGTCTTTTTTAAATGTAATGTATGTGAGTTGTATGGGGTCTTTTTTAGCAGAAAAGAAACAATAAAATGTGGAGGATATTCAAATGCCTCACCAGCACTTTGTCTGTTTAATTTAGATTGAGACTTCTCTGTGCACATATATCTTCCTGATGCTGGCACAGAGACTGTGCCCTTTTTACAATCCATACAATCTGCAGCATGCTACTGATGCATAATATTTGTAGGGGATAAAAGTACCAACAGTGAAGACGATCTCATATCACTGTCAATGCCAGGAAGGCAGTGAGGGCTGGGACACCTGGGAGACCAACTCTTCCTGGGGAAGACAGAAGCAGGGTAGAACTCGAGTGGTGCCACAAGAAAGTACACCTGCAAAGCAAATCATTTAGTTATTCGCCTGGACCATTGCCTTTAAAAATATTCACTGAATATCAGCAAATAGGACAACTGGTTTTACCTAGAGATCCTTCCCAAGTAAGTCTAATTTGTAGAGGAATTCCTGTATGATTTCTCTGCTCGTCCCACATCAGAAGTCAACATCCAAAGCTGCCAGTATGTCCTTCCTCCTCTTACCCTCTTACTTCCTTGACTCCTTTCCCAGCTTTTATTCCAAGCAATGCACAAGAATACACAACACACACACACACACACACACACACACACACACTCACGAATGGATTGATAGCATTTGGCAAACTAAATCACCTGGCAAAAATTTTGCTTCAGGAGACCCTCTTGTCAGAATATAGCGATACCTTTAATGTATCTCAGCATTGTTTTTAGTTCTACCTTTCTCCTCCCAGCTTTAGCTAACAGGCAGAAGAAAGCCTTTATCAATTTATTAACTCACCCAAAAGGTTCCAAGAGGACCTTGGGTTGGAAGTCCCTCAATCAGTGAGTCAAAATTAAACTTTTCAGGAGCCTGACCAATGAAGCTGTATGCTCTTTTGTTCATTAAAATTTAATTATGTTTTTTACCAAAAAAATAAATAAATAAGTCTAATTGTTTCACCTGCTTTTTATATCTTAGTCTCTTTTCTTTTTTTGCTTAATGTTCATTGAGTGCCTGTTACATACCTGGCACTGTGTTAATTACTTTTCATATGTTATCTGGCCACATAAAAAATTAATAGCCAAGAGTTGATTAGAAAATTATTTATTGAATACCTATTTTATGAGAGGCCTTATACTAAACTCTGACATGCTATACACAAGAAATAAGAGGTATGGTATCATTGTCCAGTGGTTTCTGAAAACCAGCAGCTGAAGAGATAGAACACAGACCCAGGAAATAAGTAAAGAAGGTAGAATAACACAATAAATGGATAAGCTCACAGTGACATTACAGATAACCCACAGTGCCAAAGTGACCCAGGCTAAGGCAGAAATGTGTTAGAACAAATGCTTCATATTCTATGAGCCCTTTGGGGACCTCATACAAATGATAGAAAGTATCTGGGAAAAAATCTATTTTATTTTCCCCAAAACTGGATACAAGACTATGTTGTGAATACTTTAAATGTTTCCTCTGGTAAACTGTTTTCAGTAGCTGGCAACTGAATAGCCAGAAGCTGCTCCAACTCTAAAGCAGAATTGTGGCATTGGGAAGTTTGTTTTTATCCCAGTTTGGCCTCCTAGGCCTGTCATCAACCAAGCCCTGAGGGAGTACACGTGAGCAGGGATGTGGCATCTGTCCAAGTCAGTTAACATACACTAATGCTACCCCCAAAACATGTTTACATTCAAAGCAGTAACTCCCACACAGGACTCATGAGTTGAAGAGCCAGTGCTCTTGATTTTTAATCATTCAGACCCCATCAGGGAAGAAACAAGGAAGGATATACACTGTACTGCTTTTGGCTGACAGTACATGTTGGAATTTTCTCCAACAGTGCCTTTTGTCTGAGAAGGTTGGGCAGTAGACTGAAAGTCTCTCAGATCCAGCAGTGTCCACTAGCGGCCATGGTAATCATTTTCTTCCATTACTGATTTCCTGTTTGAGTTAAGACACTCCTGTCACTGTTCAGTACCCAAGCTTGTAGTTGCTAATTGATTTTCCACTCTTCTGCACAATGGAATGACAGGTTTGATGGGCTCAATTAGAACCACCTGCTACAAATTACTTATTTCTTTTGTGATCAGGAAACTGCTTCTGGTCTAGGACTTTGAACACTTTGCAGAATAGAGAAGGGAAGAAAAACAGGTCCTTATTGTTGAATAACAAATTTTTATTTGCTTGCTGACAGTTACAAAATTTTTTCAGGCCTGGCTACATTGCTTCCAGGCAAAGCATGAATGTAAAACTTGAGTTCCAAATTTATAACAGATAATTGGCTAAATCCATGTGTATCTAAATTTTGAATCAATCAGCCATGGAGTATTGGCACAAAATATTCCAAATGGCATTCAATTTTGTGAATTTTGCCAAAAGTGAGAAATTCTGCAATATCTCATTTTCTCCTAGGTTTCCTTTATTTTAATTTATTTTTGAGACAGGGTCTCACTCTGTTATCCAGGCTGGAGATTGATGCCTTCATGGCTTACTGCCACTTCAAACTCCTGGGCTCAAGTAATCCTCCTGCCTCAGCACCCCAAGTAGCTGGGACTATAGGCACGCACCACCATGACCGGCTAATATTTTTTTTAAATTTTTTTAGAGACAGATTCTTGCCTTGTTGCCATGGCTGGTCTTGAACTTCTGGGCTCAAACAGTCCTCCTGCCTCAGCCTCCCAAAAGGCTGAGATTATAAGTGTGAGCCACTGTGCCTCTCCTAAGCTTAAATGTGCAGTATTTTAAAGCATTTTTACAGCTCTGCCATTTTCCTGCAACTGTCATATCTCCCCAAAACACTTTTGCAGCTAACATTTTTTTTATTGTAGTAAAATATACATAGCACACACACAAAGATAAATTCACTGTGTTGGTCATTTTTAAGTGTGCAGTTCAGTGGCATTAACTGCATTCACGTTGTTGTTCACCTACTGCCATCATCTATCTCCAGATCTTTTTTCATCTTCCCAAACTGAAACTGCGTACCCATTAAACAATAGCTGCCTATTCTCCCCTCCTCCCAGACCCTGGCAGCTACTATTCTATTTTCTGTTTCTGTGAGTTTATGCTAGGTATCTCATATAAGTGGAATTATGTTTTTCTGTGTCTGCTTTATTTCACTTAGCATGTCCTCATGGTTCATTCATATTGTAGTCAGAATTCCCTTTCTGTTTAAGGCTAATTAATATTCCATTGTATGCATATACACATATTGTTTATCCATTCATTCATTAATGGCCATTTGGGTTGCTTCCACCACTGGGTTATTATGACTAATGCTGCTATGAACATGAATGTACAAATACCCTTTGAGTCCTCCTTTCAATTCTTTGGTGTATATGCCTGTAAGTGACATTGCTGGATCATATGATAATTTAATTTTTTATTTTTTGAGGAACTCCCATACTCTTTTGCATAATGACTGCACTATTTTCCATTCCCACTGGTAGTGCCTAAGGATTCCAGTTTCTCCACATCCTGGCCAATGCTTGCTATTTTCTGATTTGTTTTGTTTTGATCACAGTCTTCCTACTGGGTGTGCCGTGGTATTTCACTGTGCTTTTGAGCTGCAGTTCACTAGTGATTGGTGATGTTGAACATCTTTTCATGTGCTTATTGGCCATCTGTATATCTTCTCTGGAGAAATGTCTATTATTCAAGTCTTTTGTCCATTTTTAATTGGAATGTTTGTCTTTTCTGTTGTTTAGTTATAAGAATTCTTTATATATTCTGGATATTAATTCCTTATCTGATGTATGACTTACAAATACTTTCTCCCGTTTTGTGTCTTGCCTTTTCATTCTGTTGGTAGTGTCCTTTGATGCACAAAGTTTTTAACTTTTGGTGAAATCCAATTTTATTCATTTCTTATTTTGTTGCCTGTGCTTTTGGTGTTATATACAAGAAATCACTGCCAAACACAATGTTATGAAACTTTTTTCCTATGTTTCCCTTTAAGAGTTTCATAGTTTTAGCTCTTATGTTTAATAAGAGCTCTTATGTTTAATAAGGTCTTTAATCTACTTTAAGTTCATTTTTGTGTATAGTATAAGGTAAGGGCCTAACTTCATTCTGTTGCAAGTGGATATCTAGTTTTCCCAACACAGTTTATTGAGAAGACTGTCCTTTCTCCACTGAACAGTCTTGGCATCCTTGTTGAGAATCATTTTACATATATGCAAGCGTTTATTTCTGTTCTATTCCACTGGTCTATGTGTTAGTCTTTATGCTGGTACCACACTGGTTTTTGTTTTGTTTTGTATTTGAGACAGGGTCTCACTCTATCACTCAGGCTGGAGTACAGAATTACAATCACAGTTCACTGCAGCCTTGACCTCCTAGGCTCAAGCCATCCTCCCACCTCAACCTCCCTAGTAGCTGGGACTACAAGTATTCACCACCACCGCCCCCAGCAATTTTTCATTTTTATGTTTTGTAGC